AAGAGCAAAAAAAAACCTTATTAAAATGGAATGTATTTGAACGTGATACGTGTATATATATAAAAAAAATATGCTTAAAGTTTTTTGTGGTAAGCTGAAACAATATTAAAAAAAAAATCAAAAGTTAAATATAAAACAAAAAAACTTTACTAATGCAGGATCCTAGATTACAAAATGTATTCACATGCTAAACCTTTTTTTTATATTCAGTATTTGATATTTTTGTATTGATTATGAAAAAAAATTGAATAATAATGTATGACAGTTTATTTTATAGCAAATAGAACTGTCTCATTTAAATATTTGTTTACTTTATTAAAACGCATGGATCCCAATCTTACATAAAATAGCTATAAAAACTAAAATAGTTGCAATTAATTCCATCCAATGTTTTATTTACTGAATAAAATGTCCTTTTTTTATTTTCTTCATTCTGAGAAAAGAGTTGCAGCTTGTTACCCAACTTGTTCTTTTCGAAGTTAATTTATTACTCGGTGCCAATGAATTCTCTGCCCTAATTCGTCTAAGTCTCATTTTTGTTGGAGGATTTATGAACGCAATTTGCCCGTTTCACGTCCCGGGATCACGGGGTAGTAAAACAACTGATTTCCAGAGGGTGCAATTCTTCAGAAAAAAGGACGTGAGGACGTGCAAAAGAATTCTGGACGGTTTTTGTAATTGTAATTTAATGAAAAAGTTTCAGAATTATTTTGCCCATTAATGGCTTACTTTACAAATGAGCGTAATAAAAATAAAGCTTTCAAGCCGTTCTTTTTAACTGTTCTTTCTTTCATTTAAAAGAATACTCTCAACATTAAGTTTAAGTGGCGACTGAGTAAAATTATATTTTTAAGCTATCTGTAATCACATTCAGCATACCTTCCTTGGTAGTGTATATTTTCTACACATTAATATAATTATAAAATTTAATATATAGTCTTTCCACACAACTTATTTTTTGTAAAGAAAGCTTTTATATTTCACAATAGAATAAAAGTCCTGTGAAATATCCTGGTTTATGTCTGTATTCAACAATACAAATAAATTGAGTTTATAATTCTTTTTCGGTACAGGAAAGAAAAAAATGGAGATCTCTTGAAGAAAAATTAAATTTATCATACTCCCAACAAACTTAAACAATTTATATCTTAATAGTAGAACACTGAGAGCAGTGGTTCTGTTACTGAAACAAAATAATTCAATACGAGATGATATTTATATTAAATTACGATGTCAGTGTATCTAAGTGGCCATTTGTTCAAGCTAATCAATGAATTCCATTCTGCTGATTAGTTCTTGAAAGTATATTTTTCTTATCTTAGATCAAAACGTTTTTATTTTGAAATAAACTTAGAAAGTAGGATAGGGATAGTCAGAAAGACAGGAATCAGTTCGCTGTTTTTAATACCCTTTTATAAGGTTCGTTTGTATGTAACGGAATCTTTGAACTCCATTTTTACTCAATTTAAAAGGTCGGATTAATACAAAATTTTGCTCACTTGTCCAGAAACAATGACAATACAATAAAATTATTATTTTATTCCATTGTCCTCATCAGGATTAACGATTTCCCATTTTCAGATCCCATTTCCAGATTTGGTGACTAAAAGATTAAACTACAATTTTAGTTCGATTAAAGGGTGTTTTTAAAAATTTTTTTGAAAGATAATTTATTATTTTCCACTTTAACCTCAATGAATTTGTAAATAAAATTCTATCACTGAGCAAGTAACACAAAATTAACACATACAGTTATCAGTGTCTTGAGAGTTTCGTAAATTATTTTTCTAGTTTAAGTGACATTTTATTCAATATCTTACTTTCTAGAGACCCTTCCGCGATTGGTTATCAAACAGGTATGTGTAACACGAAGCGGAAAAATTCATCAGTGTTCTCTTCTCGTCTACTGCAACGGGCTAAATTTATGATGGTCTCATGATAAATGCAATCATGTGTTATTAACTGGATTCTGAACTGACATAACACATGTATTTGTTGCTGTACTTGTAAATTTAAATACAATTTCCAATTAGTTAATTGGGCAATGTGCAAGTATTAAGATTCTTGAAAAAAATATTAAAAAGTTCTTATATTATGCATGTTTTTCAAATAAATACATTCTGTTCACCTACACTCAAGAGCCAAATGTCAATAATGAGTTGGCCCACCTTTGGCGGGCAACACAGCTCAACCCGCCTTGGCATGGATGCCACAAGTCCTTGGTAGATGATCGGAGACAGATTGTACCATTTGTTTAAGCAACGGTCACGCAAATCCAAGATATTGCGAATTGGTGGTCTTTGAATTCTGAGCTGCCGTCCCATGATATCCAAAATGTGTTGTATCGGATTAAGATCCGGTGAGTTAGGTGGCCAGGACATTAATTGGGATTCAGCATCATGCTCCTGGATTCCTCCAACACAATTTTAGCCTTATGACACGGGGCGTTGTCCTGTTGGAACATTCCATTTCCAACTGGAAAAACAGAGGCTATGTAAGGGTGCAATTGGTCCGTAATGAGGTTTAGATACCCTGAAGCATTCATGGTCTGCTCTACCACAACAACGGGTCCCAGAGACGCCCAAGAGAACGTCCCCAAAGCATAATACCACCACCACCAGCCTGTGTATGACCTACTGTGCATTGAGGGAGCAACTGTTCACCTGGAAGACGGCGTATACTGACACGGCCATCGGCCTTGATGAATCACAAACCATGCTTTATCTAAACAGGCAACTCTCTCCCACTGATCCATCGACCAGTCGCGATGTTCCGGGGCCCAGAGCAAGCGCAGTTGTCGATGATTCTTGGTCAGCAAAGGCTCACGAGTGGGACGTTTGCTGCGTAGCTCCATGTGCAACAGTGTCCACTGAACAGTGTGCTCCGATACTATTCTACTTGGCCCTGCATTTTATTGGGCTGTAAGCTGAGCCACTGTCTGGCTCCAGTTTTGTTTCACCATGCGAGACAGTCTCCGACGTTCTTTTTCTTTGATAGCGTGTGGACGTCCAACACCATGTCGTCTACTGCTGGTTTCACCGTCATTCATCCACTTTGCATAAGTACTAACAACTGTAGATCTCCAGCAACCCACGAGTCGTGCAGTTTCGGAAATACTTGTTCCGAGCCATTACAATCTGCCCTCTATCAAAGTCGCTTAGATCCGCAGCCTTTCCCATCACACAGAGAAGTAAGTGAAAGAATGATTCTTCAGATCTCCAGCAGCAGTTATATACCACTTCCACCTGATCACGTGCCTTCCACGTCATCCAGGCGAGTTCATTGCAATATATAGGGGTGTCATAATGTTTTGGCTCTTGAGTATATGTGCACTATTATTGTTAACAAATATATTCTTTTAGAAGAAAGTTTCTGCACAAAAAGCAAAAGCTGATGAATTGATTGTATGGAAACACGTTATTGCAATTATCATGAGACTGTGAAGTTACATGAATTTAATCCATTTCTATAAATAATAATCCTCATATTGCATACATTTTATTATTTTTTAGCATAAATATGTTATTTATATTAATATGAACGTTCATTTTTAAATTCCTACTATTAGTTCATTCTCTCCATATATATACACTCAAGAGCCAAAACATTATGACCACCCCACATTTTGTAATGAACTCGCTGAATGACGTGGAAGGTACGTGATCAGGTGGAAGTGGTATTTAACTGCTGCTGGAGAGTATGGAGAATCATTCTTTCACTTACTTTTGTGTGTGATGGGAAAGGCTGCGGATCTAAGCAACTTTGATAGAGGGCAGATTGTAATGGTTCGAAGGCTCGGAACAAGTATTTCCGAAACTGCACGACTCGTGGGTTGTTCGCGATCTACAGTTGTTAGTACTTATGCAAAGTGGATGAATGACGGTGAAACCAGCAGTAGACGACATGGAGTTGGACGTCCACACGCTATCAAAGAAAAAGGTCGTCGGAGACTGTCTCGCATGGTGAAGCAAAACCGGAGCCAGACAGTGGCTCAGCTGACAGCCCAATACAATGCAGGGCCAAGTAGAATAGTATCTGAGCACACTGTTCAGTGGACACTGTTGGATATGGTACAACTCACCAAACGTCCCACTCGTGTGCCTTTGCTAACCAAGCGTCATCGGCCTGCGCTGGGACCGGGAACATCGCGACTGGTCCATGGATCAGTGGGAGAGAGTTGCCTGGTCAGATGAATCACGGTTTGCCATTCATCACGCTGATGGCTGTGTCAGGATACGCCGTCTTCCAGGAGAACCGTTGCTCCCTTAATGTACAGTAGGTCATACACAGGCCGGCGGTGGCGGTATTATGCTTTGAGGGACGTTCTGTTGGGCTTCTCTGGGACCCGTGGTTGTGGTAGAGCAGACCATGAATTCTATTGTGTATCTGAACATCATTGCGGACCAGTTGCACCCTTACATGGCCTCTGTTTTTCCAGCTGGAAATCGAATGTTCCAAGAGGACAACACCCCCTGTTACAAGGCTAAAATTGTGTTGGAGTGGTTCCAGGAACATGATGCTGAATTCCAGTTAATATCCTGGCCGCCTAACTCACCGGATCTCCATCCGGTAGAGCCCATTTGGAATGTCATGGGATGGCAGCTCAATTCGCAATGTCTCGGATTTGCGAGACCGTTGCTTAAACATCTGGTACAATCTGTCTCCAGCCATCTACCAAGGAGTTGTGGCATCCATACCAAGGCGGGTTGAAGCTGTGTTGCGCGCCAAAGGTGGGCCAACTCGTTATTGACAGGTGGTCATAATGTTCTGGCTCGTGAGTCTATATATATGTATTGTTTAAATTTTCATTCATTAATAAAATACTTTCGATTCCTCCGTTCAAGTTCAAACACATTCTTTTAAACTTGTAGTGGATAACACATGATGTTAATACATTTTTTTCAAATATTAATTCATTAATTCTATTTAATTAATGAATAAATAGAAACAAACAAAAATAATAGTCCATCACCACATATAAAAGGAAAAGAGCTCGTCGTGTCACTGTTGAGCAATGGATAGCTCGTTGGACTTCTAATCCAAAGGCCGTGGTTTCGAATCCCACCTGGGATGGACTAATATCTGAGAATGAGTTTTTTTTTCACTATACTATTTTATCAGAATAATTAAATTTAATTACGGAATAATTATTGACAAAAAAACAAAAGAAAATAATCCAACACCATATACAGAAAGGAAAATGGAAAATTGCTTTCTATTTTGTCACTTAATATTGTGATTTTGTCGTATGTATATATAAATTTAAATTAATTGCAACTATTTAATAAAAAGTAACTAAAAATTTTTTTTTATTGTTGACCGAAGTAGGAATCGACTTAACATATTTTTTATTACTTGTTTAATATGAAAATGAAATGTCAATCTTCCCACTCTTTATTAATGTAGAGAGGGTGAGGATTGTAATCCGCAAGGAAATGCTAATGCTAACCTAAAGAATATTCAAACCTTTTTAAAACAAATTTTAAGAAATGGTATAGATAAATAGAATCAACCATATGCCAAGTAAAGAATTTCCAAATAAGAAAAGCCAAATGTGATATTACAGTTTATGGGATGCATCTGTATATCATTTTTTTAGAATCAAAATTTTAACTTCTTATTCAGATTAACACTTAGATATTTCAAAGTAATATTTTTAGACATATGAATAATATCATCTAGAGCCGGGGTGGGCATTAAGTCGATCGCGATCGGCCGGTGGACCGCAAAGACATTTTGGGGTGACCACCTTCATTAAGATCTAATAATCATTCCATTATAAGAATGTCTAGAAATACCGTATTCATTCGAATCTAAGCCCCGTCTTAAATTCTCAACAAGCTTTTGTGAAAATTGAAAAATAATCCAAAATGTGGTTTATCGATATACAATTTTATGAAATTAAAATAAATTTTAAAGGAAAATTAAAGAAGTGAATAACTATCATAAAATCGAGCGTATAACGTGCACTTTGAACACAAAAAATGACATCGCAATGTACGGGTGCGGGTTATACGTCCCGTATAAAAATGACAGCCTCAAAAGAAAAGAAAAAGATAAGCAGAAAAAAATAAAGTTTCTACATATCGAAATACTGTTTATTTAAGAAAAATAACATTTTTTATGAACGTATAGGGTTGGAGCTCTTGAAGAGTTTTTTCCCCCTACAACTTGGGATAGTAACTCGAATAAAGGACTTCAAAACATAAGAGGATTGCACACGCATATTTCTAGTTTCTTCGTAAAAATGGGGGTGCGTATTATACGGCGAATATACCTAAAAATAAAAAACTGAAGCTTGAAAATATAGGTGCATGCTGTACGCCCGATTTTACGGTAGTTATTTTGTCAGCATTAAAACTTTTAAATACATGTATGAAGCTGTAATTTGCTCTAAATACTTCATTCAACATATTTTTCTCCCTTCAATTCTAAGCCACGCCCAATTTTCAGTAGCATTAACATCGAGTAAAAAGTTTGGCTTAGATTCGAGTAAATATGGTATTTTAAAAAATACGGAGGAAAAAAAATCGAATGATAAGAGTAAATTTCGTTGAATAGAAATGCATTTTGCTATTTGGGGCTATTTTACGAAGAAAATCATAGAACGTTCTTGGTTCCAGGAAAAAGTTAGAGAAATATATAAAATGGAGGTCCGGCTATATTGTATACTTTCTTTTTGTTCACTACACCTACACTGGTGGACCGCAACATCTTGAAAAAATTAGAAGTAGCCCGTACCATGGAAAAGTCTGCCCACACCCCTGATCTAGAGCTTTAAAATAATTTTATAGTATTTTAAAAAAAGGTTAAATTTTGGCTTAATTTGGATGTTAAATTTAATAGGAAACAATAAAATTACATTTAAAGGAAGCAAACGAAGTTATATAAATGTTTGTAAAACAAACAAACAATATTGTAAAACATTGGGAGCTAAATATACCCATGAATAGTTAAGAGAGTTTTAAATTGCATGTATCCAAATAAAAATAAAATAACAAAAGATGTTTTGTAACATTTTTCTGAACTCTTAAAGAAAAGAGAATGTGAATAAAATCGATAAGGAACAAAGAAAAAAGTTAAGAAAAACTATAAAACCAATAGAAAAGGCAAAATAAAGAGAAAATGAATGTAAAGATCTCAATGAAATAAAATGAATAAGTATTTGAAGATCATAATTAAATCAGTTTTTAAAGCACTAAAAATAAAGTGTAACTTCTCCAAATAAAACACGTTCAACTGTGCGAAAGATGAACCAAGCGGAAAAAGAGGAAATTTAATAAAAGACCCACTTTATATTTTGTGATTTTCCTGATGAACAGTGGGAAAAAAAAATGTTTTTATTTCTCATTACAATATTTTTTGAATGAGAAATTGCTCAATAAAAATTAACGAATAGTCATTTATTTAAACTTTTCAATTTCAATTCCAAAACCATTTTTCTGAACATATTCCTCGGTAAGTAAACACAACATTTATTCCTATTCGAAAATTCATCTTTTTGAGAGTTTTACTGAAAAAACAGGATGATATATTTTTTCTTTCAACTTCGCAATTTCCATTAATTCCTTTTTTATACACAGAAAACTCTTGGAATTTTTAAATATTTAATCAGAGGCAAAAATAAAGTTTCAAATGAAACATATTTGATCTAATGTATTTTTTTGCAAAAACATTCAGTTCTTAGAATTAAAATACATTTTATTGAGTTTTTGAAAAATATTCCATTAAATAAATTCATATTTGTAAAGAGAAACGATTTAAATAAAGAATAACTCCACATGTTTCAGCTAGAAGTAAAAAAATTTTAAAAACAGTATCTACATTTCCAAATTGAACATCTAAATGAGAAAAACAGCTTTTTGTTATTTTTATTCCCGTAAATAAACAAAATTGCTCTTGATTAGCTGAAATGTTTCGATACTGAATGAATTAAATTTGAGAATATATTTATATTTCAGGCTTTGTTAGATTGTTTGTCATCTTACCAGGCTTCTCGATTTATAAAAGGAATCGACGAAACTTGAACATTCAAAATCTTTAGTCAGGCTAAGTTCGTATTAAGGTATTCGACTACCCTAAAATTTTGAGTTTTGCTAAAAATTGACAAAATTTTTTAGGACTTTATTTTATATACCATCTTGTTAGCTTTATTAAAAAACCAAGTCTATTATATTCCATTCACTACAACAAAAAATGCTAGTGTTTAAGTAAAAGCAGATGTCATTACTTTAAGCAAGATGCCCCACTTTAAAACACGTTTTACTCGAAATGTGATTTTTTGAAAATAATCAAACGGGGTCAGCGATTGCTAAAAAAGTTTTAAAAATAATTAACTGTGAAATTTTTTGGGTATGTTCTGTATAATAGTAGAAGTGTTTTAACGTTCACATTTATCAATCACTGTTTTATTACAAAATTTACAGTCCCTTATGTTAATATGATCATTTTTTTAAGCAACTTCATATAATAACTAAAATAGAGTGCTCAAGCTTTTGTAAAAATTAAAATATCACTCATCCTGAAGGTCATTTAAAAAATGAATAACATAACAACAGAATAATAGAAAATTTCTTCATAAATTTTTGGTACGGAATGAGCCCCGTTTATGTTATTTTTTGTAAATTTTTGCCAAATTTTTCCCATTTTAGTGTAATAAAAATTTCTTTTGATCTTCTTAGTTTGAACATATCTCTCTTAAAATGTACCAACAAAATCTAAAAACCTCAAAAAACTCCCCATATCTACATTTTTTTTAAAAAAAAAATCTTTTCGCAAGTAGTCGGATACGTTAATGTGATGAATGGAAGAACTTTTAGACAGCTTGCCAAATTCATTAACAACAGCTTTATCTAATCTAATCACAATATCTTAATGCTAAATATTCAATAGGAGTGTAACGAACAATTAATAATAAAATATTCACATAAGTCTTAAAAGATCCTTTGAGGCACAGCCACGCAAGTTCCGACTCCAGAATAAGTCCGGAAACACATAGCACTCAGATGATTCGTCTGTAGCGTCGTGCACTTCGATTCATCTTATGGATTTTAACTCAAACTACTCAAATCTGAAAGTTAATATTTCACCTCACAATCGCAAAAACGTCTTTTTACAATTACAACCTCAACAACAACCCCTTTCCCATTAAAAAAACTCTTTAAACAGAAATCATAATCTGCATATATCACAAGACGAGGTTTTCTGAAGTCAATCAATGATAAAAATATAGAAATCCCCAGATTGTTGAAACGAGTTAGAACTTGCTTCAAGGTATTAATTTCAGAATTCAACCAATTAAAATCGAGTTGTAATAGTAAAAAGTATTATATAAAAGTCAAAGTGGTTTATGACAAATCAGTAGAAAGATTTAAAATTGAAAATTTCGGTACTTACGTATTATCGCAACCTATTGGCGACATTATATGAAACAAAGCACATGATTACCAATTCAGCACATACGACACATGCGAAATTGGAGTTGCCAACTTGGCAAGTTGTCTTGATCGTTGGCGATTGTTGCGATAATACGTAAGTACCAAATTTCTAAATAGATCTTATAAGACGGTAACGTGTAACACAAAAAACGACTTCAAAGATTAACTGATATTTGAGTTGTAATAGCTATGGAGTGGTATAGATTAGTGGTCAATCCTCGGGCCGCGGACCAATACCCTTCCGTAGATCAATTAATACCGGTCCGCCAAGGCATATTACGTTATTTCCCTTTTATTTAATTACTATTATTGATAAGGAATCGAACCTCGACCCAGTTGTCAACAAACCAGTCGAATCTAGTATGTCTGTGCAAGAAGATCAATTGCTGGAGATTGAAAAGGACGGTAGCCTTAAACCTACGTTCAAGATAACTGCTGTCGTTTTTCTGGATAAAATTCATTGAGGAAAACCCTGAGATTGCCACCACGGTACTTAAATTACTGTTGCCCTTTCCGTCTACCTATCTAGGTGAAGCAGTGTTTTCTGCAGCGACAGGAACCAAAACGTAATAAACTGGACATATGCAAAACACTTCAGGTGTCACTGTCTCCTACTACCCCAAGATGGAGCAGTCTCGTT